ATACATCCACAGAGGCATTAGTCATTACACAAATAGAATTAATAGGTTTCACTACACTTAAAGATCAACATGTTGGAACAGTAACTCCATTCATCCAGGGCCTTTTGAGCTTGCTCAGGGTCCTTACCTGACTGTTAGAATAAATATAAAGTTTTATGGCCTGCTTGTTCTGTGTGACTTCACCATCACCACATCACACGCATTCAGTTCAGTTCAGAAATGGCAACCGTACGCACTGAAACATTCGTTCACTCATTCGTTCTCTTACTAACTACTGTTTTTCCAGCTCAGTTTGCCTAGTATTGTGGTTCCCCGACTGTTATCATAGGATTCAAAGGAACCATTTTGTTGGGGTGCAGACGTTCAGAATATCTCAGTGAGAGTGAGTCAAGAGAGAGGGCAGTGTGCATAGTTGGTTAGAGCAGGAGGTTGGGCATCAGATCAGACTTACTGGATTTGAACTCTAGTTCCATCACCCACTGTTTGTATACACTCAGGAGCCTATTTCACTTCTCTGGAGTCTCCACTGCCTTATCTGTCAAATGCCCTTGAAACCCCTCACCCCTCACTATCTCTGCCTAGCGTATCTCTTGTCCTTCTGGTGCTCCTCCCATGGTGCCATGCATCCAAGAAAGATCCTTGAGGTCCAGGCAGGCTGGGTCAGGAAAGATGGGACAGGCTGCACAAGGGGACATTCCTATGGACGTTCTGCAAGAGCAAAGGTGTATTGATGGAGTGTGATGGCGGGTTGGGAGCAGGAAGGAACAGCGAAGAGGCCAGTTCAATGACAGGGGAAAGGAGGGCCGTATCGGGGGTGGCGTGAGAAGATGGAAGAGACTGGGGATAGAAAACAGAGAATGTGAGAGTTTACAGGATGCACAAAGTGAGGAATGGACCTAGTGCGCAAAATATTTCAATCAAATTCTGTGATAGCCTTCCATGATTAGCGAAGCAGTTCTTAAAAAAAAAAGACACCCTCCAAGGTTAGAAACATTTCTGGGTGTTGTAAGCCCAAGCAGGCTGTAGAAATACATGCATTCACAGCAGCCAGATCCTTAAAATCTTGTGCCTTAATTTCTCCATTTAAAAAAAGATCATTTGTTTTATATGGCACCTCCATTGTGAGGTTACTGTGACATTTAATAAAAAAAATGTAAAGCACATTGCTCTGTACTTAGGACAAATTACACACTTGATCAATAATAGCTTTATTATACACATGGAAAGGTGTCTGGCAAGATGTCTTAATCAACTTATTTATCACGGCTATCTCTCTTTGTGTGATTTCAAGTAACTTTTACTCTGTTTTTTGTCTTTTCTCTATAATTTGAATTTTTCCAATAAACCTGCATTATTTTTATAAAATTGTAAGGCTATTTTTTAAAAAATTCATATTTAGGAATGAAACATCTCAGGACATACAGTCTCAAGGGATGTAGCTCTTCCTGTAACAACCTTTCCAATGAATGTACTGCATAGTTTAACCCTTTAGTGCTAAACACACCTTTTCAGAAAAGGTGTTTCACATTTGCATAATCAAATGGTCTCTTACCTGTGAGAGCTTTTTATAAAACAAAGGGCCCCTCAAGGATATAAAGAGTCCACTCTCCTGAGTATATTTTGGCTGACACCTTTGAAATGACGATTTTGATTTTCTAGTTTCTGACTCTTTTATCAAGTGTTCAAGGATCTTGAAGACAGAAAACACATGAACATCCCCCAGGAGACTGTGAGCTTCAACAGTGAAGTCACCTTGGTAGCCCAGTACTTGGCACACTGGCAGGCACATGGTAGGTATCACACAAATATCTAAGTTGAATGAATAAGAGAATGAACAAATGTTACATCTAAGGGCTGAATTTCTGCTTGGGAGACAAGGAGAGTCACACCCTATTCCATATTCAAATTTGATTAAGAACTTTAAAAAATTAAATGGAAACAAAGTGATTCTTACTAAAACCAAAAGTGAAGCAGAAAATCCAATGGCTCTGTATGGAGGGCCTATAGCAGTCCAGGCACTGATCTAAGTATTGAGGATTTTGTTGTGAAGAGGAGCTTAACTCCAGCGGGGAATATAGACTTTGATCTGGATGGTCTGAAAGTATATAATGGGGGGAACCAATCGTGACAGGGTAGAGGGGTTGAGTGGGGCAGAGGTGGCAGGGAAGGCTTTGATAAGAAATTGACCTTTAGGCTGAGACCCAAGGTTGATGAGAAGGAGTGAGACAGATGAAGCGTGGTTGGCAAAGCATTTCTGAACTTTCCAAGGTGAAGAGCAATGGCTTCCTGCTTGCAGAGGGAGCCATATGTACAAAGCCCTAAGTTGGGGAACAGCTTGTGGCATGTGAGAAACACAAATGAGGCCAGTGTGTGCAAGGCATGTGCAAGAATATTGGCGATGGCGGGGACCATATTGATCAGGGCAGGGTAGAGAGCTTGAATTTTATCCTAGTTGCAATGGGAAGACTTTGAAGACCTTGAAGAGCTTTAATTCCACAGGGATCATAATCTGATTTACATTTTCACCGTGTAATAGCTGTTGGGTGGTCAAGGGACTGGAGCAAGGCTGGGTGGGAGCAGAAGAGAGTCCAGGGAGAAATGGTAGCGACTGGACCTGACTGTCTGTAGATAGTAGACACAGAGAGACATGGAGAGGTTTTAGATCTGGTTTGAAGGTAGGAATGATACGACTTTCTACTGGATTGGAAGTGGGAGGCAATCCTATTTAACCCTGACTATTTCATCAACACGGCAGCCATTGTCCTTCCTCATCCAGGTACCCACTCTGTCCCCCATTTATGATTTTAATTTTCTACCAGGTACTTTTTACCAGATGACATGCTAAATTGTACTTTTCATTTTTAAAGTAATGAATATATAGGCTAATGTAACGGGAAGCCAAAGAAAGATCTTTAGAGCTTCAGGCATAGCCAGATCAAGGGATTTTTGTCACAGCTTCTCCTCTGTATTTCAGCTGTGCTTCACTCTTTGGGATTCATCGCCAAGTGAATTCCCTCTACTTGGCGGTTAGATGGCTTCTGGCAGCCTCAGACTCAGCCTTAGCTTAGCAGCAACAGTAAGGAAGATTTCTCTCTCCCAACATCCATACATCAGTCTGAGAGCTAATACGTGTTACTTTGCTTGGGTCATATGTCCACCTATGAACCATTCATGATGGACTGGCTAGTGGGAAACTAGGATAACCCTCCTAGGTCATATGCCCATCTCTGGGGTGGGGAGTTTGGGACCATGCTTAATATCGAAGAGGAATGGTATCACAAAGGAAGCAGGAGAAAGGGGTTTGGGGAATATGGTAGGCAGACAAAATCCACAATTACTGCAGTGCAGTAGAGACATTAGAAAGGAGTTCAAGGGTCTGGAGTTCATTAGCCAAGTCCAAGATGGAAACAGAAATTTGGGAATAGTCTGCAAAAGAGAGTACCGTAGGCTTGAGGGTGAATGAGATCACCTACCATGGTGAGAAGAGAAGAGGGTCTACTGTTGGGTAAGATGAAGGCACATTTTATGTAACAAATGAATTTAGGACTGTTTTAGAGGTTGCTGGTGTATCTGTGAAAATACATGCCTTCCATTGCACTACTGTTCTAAGTGCCTATGGAGTTTCTATGTATTGAATCTTCATAATAATTCTATTCACTTGATACTACTGCAATTCCCATTAGGGAATTACAGACGAAGAGACTAAGGCACAGATTGGTTCAGGAACCTGTGCAGAGTCACATAGGGAGTAAGGGAGACAGCTGGTGTTCAAACCCGGAAGTGTGGTTTCAGAGTTCTCCTAAGATTTTACGCAGTTAAAAGGCATTGGAGGGAAGGTGAATTTCTGTCTCCTTTCCGTCCCTGCAATTTCATAGCATCCCCAGATTTTCACCTGCTGCTCTGCATTTGTGGCAGAATGCACGTGTGGTTTAGCTCATCTGAGACTACGTCTCTGAAGATGAAAATTGAGAACGTAGAACTGTGGTGTTCCATCGAGTTAACTTGGAGGGCGTTTGCCGTCAGGAGGAACAGATGCTGTTTAAGTCAGGAAGAAATGAGTGTTCCCTCCAAGCCCTGCTTTAGAAAGCCTCTTTGTTTTACGACGCTGGGTGCAAGCAACCCTTTTAATTTTGTGTTTTGGATTCCAGCCATAGGAGGCCTTCTTTAATGTAGCAGATGGCTGGAGACAGGCAAGCCAGGTTCCTACACTCTGCATCAAGCGGTCTTCCCTAGAGAGGAATCTCCCAATTATGTTGCTCTGAAAAAGAGAAGAGAAGAGAACTTAAAATGGACACATTAAATTTGCACCGCACGTAAAGTCACCGGTGCTTTAAGCATCTGCAAGCATTTGGGGATCAGGCAAGCTTCTGAGAAGCTGATGAAAACTATGGACTTTTTCTGCAGAAAATGTGTAGGTAGGTATATACACAAAAATGTGCATATTCATTCCAGGGGATGGGGTAGTCACAGAGTTTCTCACATCCGGTCCCTGAAGCTTCAAGGGGTCTATGACCTGGAGATTCCTGGGCTTTCCGTGAGGCAGTTGTCATTTTTTTTTTTTATTTTACTTTTCTTTTTTTCAGTATATGAAGACTCTCAACATCTGAGTTGTGAAAATAAAGGGTCTGTGGACTATTAAGGGATCATTTCACCACAGGACACTCAAGTTTTACTGGAAAAAAGTCCTTTTTAAAAAATATTGATTTATTTTGAGAGCGAGAGAAAGAGCACGAGCACAAACGGGAGGGACACACACACACACACACACACACACACACACAGAGAGAGAGAGAGAGAGAGAGAGAGAGAGAGAGAGAGAGAGAGAGAGAATTTCAAGCAGGATCCCTTCTCAACACAGAGACAGATGTGGGGCTTGATCTCAAGACTGTGGATCATGACCTGAGCCGAAATCAAGAGCTAGTTGCTTAACTGACTGAGCCACCCTGGCACCCCTGGAAAAAATCCTTTCAAATGTTGAATAAAAACACTTTAGTGTATTCTCTGGTTCACACAGAACCTTAGCTCTGTAACATGAAGTTTATTTGGGAAACTTTGTGTGATGATTTTTTTCTCTCTCGGAGTTTTGCACACTGTTTTCTTCGAGATCTCATGCTTCTCGGCACTTTTCTCCACTTAGCTCTGCCTCCTGCACCGTTTCCAGTATGAAGGCTTGGGGGTGGGGCTAGTCTGTCCGTTGAAGAACATACAGAACTTGGAGAGGAAGCTTTATCATTTCCAGGACACTGTCCAGAGGAGTCACTCAAACTCAGGCATTTCTTCCTCTGAGGTCCACTTGCCATGACTGTCAGAGGAAGTGAGTGTCTCGGAGGTGGCTATGAGGTGGGACCCTTTTCATCTCTGTGGTCACTCACTGATCCTTTTATGCCGGGTGACTCCTCGAAACACCATCACGTTCTTCCAATTCTAGTGGGTGTGCGTTGGGCATTTAGGGAGAATCTTCTGAGCTGTAGCAAAGCATGGAAATGACATATTTATTAAGGATACTGGCACCAAAATCATTTTGCCTCAATTACCCTTCAGTTAAAAATTAAAAATAGGGAAACACTGAATTAATGATTCCAGTTCTTCATGTTCCATATGTGGTCCCCTATTTCCTGAAAATTACTTCCTTTTTGGTTCTGGAAAATTCAAGGTGGGAGTAGGTCATGAACTAAACATTCTGGTTGATTCTTTTCACCTAATGAATAATTAAAGCAATTATTTTTATTTATTTATTAGAAAAATTCAAGCAAAGGGCCCATTTTCTCCCCATCAACCCCAATTAAAGAAAACCTATCTGGGGCTTAAAACAATACATACAGCTGCGCCTGGGTAGCTTAGTCGGTTATGCATCAGACTCTTGGCTTAGGTCATCGTCTCACGGTTTGTGAGTTGAAGCCCCTGTCAGGCTCTGTGCTGATAGAGTGGAGACTGCTTGGAATTCTCTCTCCCTCTGTCTCTCTCTCTCTCTCTGACTCTACCTAACTCGTGTGCTCTCTCTTTCTCTCTCAAAGTAAATAAATAAATCAACTTTAAAACATTAAAAAAAATAACACACAAAACCTTTTTGTACGTAGTGACATTTTGGACGGGATAACTCTTGGTAGAAGGAGGCTGTCCTGTATATCGCAGAGAAATCAGCAGCTTCCCTGGCCTCTACCCTGTAGATGCCATTAGCACCACCCTCCTGTATGTGACAGTCATGGTTGTTTTCAAATATTGTCAAATATTCCCCTGGGATGGGACAGTCGCCTCTGGTTGAGAAGCACTGGCCTAAATTATCCACAAATAGCTTTCTCTGCAAGTATAGTAAGATTGAAGTTTGAAGCTGCTTTTATCTGCTCTCGTGGGGGAATGCTAAATCAGTTTATCTATCGTGATGCCCCATTGAGACTACGTCTATTTGTTCAGATCATCCCATTCTACATTTGTTTTTAGAATCCATTTGATAGTTAAAAACAGGAACTTCCTTATTCCATTCCTATGGCTCTGGTGTGCCTGTTCATTCCCCGTTTGATAATCTTTTCAACTATCTAGATATTTAGCGATCTGTCTGATTTTCTATACCCTTTGAGCCTAGGTAATTTCTCAGTCCTTTGGGAGGCATTTTTGTGCCGTTCAAGTTTCCATTCCTTCTTTTTTTTTTTTAATTTTTTTTTTTAACATTTATTTATTTTTGAGACAGAGAGAGACAGAGCATGAACAGGGGAGGGGCAGAGAGAGAGGGAGGCACAGAATTGGAAGCAGGCTCTAGGCTCTGAGCCATCAGCCCAGAGCCTGACGCGGGGCTCAAACTCGCAGACCGCGAGATCGTGACCTGAGCTGAAGTCGGACACTTAACCGACTGAGCCACCCAGGCGCCCCATCCATTCCTTCTTCTATGGTATCATCTCTTCCCACTTCAGACCTAAGCTGAGCTCACATAGCAACGTGGAGAGGTTGGAGTCTGGTTGCTGTGATCAGTAGGTGTGTACATGGTTCAGGAAACACAACTGTTGGCTTTAAGATTACAAATGTGAGCATTAAAAGGAATCCTGCAATCACAAATTGTTCCTTATATAATGTGCAGTGACTGTAAGATGGCCAACAGCTTGGGGGAGGATTTTACTAGCTGTTTGAAGTGAGGAATGGCTCTAGTGTACAAAATGTTTAAACCAAATTGTTATGTCTTACAATGTTCAACAAAACACTCTGCAAACATCAGTTCTGAGGGGAAAAAAAGGCACCCTCCAAGGCAGGGTTATAGGCACTTCTGGGAGTTGTAAACCCATGCAGTCTCCAGAAATATGTGCCTTCCAAGGGCTGGAAACTTCTGAATTGCCAACAAATAATCAGTGAGTGTGACAAAGAGTTAAAGTACACAGACGTTACTTTCACAAAATTTATGGTGTAGTAAAGAGGTTTAAGATGTAGACCCGAGACTGCAAACCAATGGTCAATAGGACTAAATCAGGACCATGGATTTGTTTTGCTTGGCTTGGAGAGAATTGGCCTCCAGCGTGTCTAAGAAAGGGAGAAAAAGTGAGAAAGAGTGAGAGAAGTGGCTAAGCTTTTAGATAACAGAGATTTTTTTTTTTTGCATTAAAATCCAGATTTCCAACTGTTTTTGAAAAATCCGACGATCTGCCAACACTGGCCCTTATTCTGTTTCCCTACAGTGGTGGTCGGCTGGAGTGGAACAGCAGCTGTCCCTTTGATCAGAACAGGCACTCTCTGGGTCCCCACCCTGGCCCACTACACTTCCTCACCAGGCCTCTGTCCCATTCGAGATTGGCCACCCCTCATGCAGAGACTTCGGCAACATTTACTTTGTCTTCTCACCGTGGAAACAAACTGCTGGGGCCCTGAGCAAAATAGCAGCTGCTCATTTGTGTGAGATGCTGCTGGCTCAGGCCACAGAGGTGATAATAGAGGCAGTGAGAAATGGTCAGATTTGGCATGTATTTTGAAGGTAGAGTCAATAAGATTTCATGATGGATTGGATTAGGCTATGAGGGAGAGGATTTGGAAAGGACTCCAATTTTGATTTTTACTTAGATTAATTTCTTTAAAAAGTAAACCTATGGTGGAGTATTGGAAAACCAGTATTGACCTCTTAAAATAAGAACATTTAAAAGTCTTTCTTCACTAGTACTCTTCCACATGGGTGCCCTAGGTAGTGCCATCATCATAGTCTGGTAAATGCTGCCGCTTTGGGGACTTTTGAGGGAAAGAACAATGAGAAGAGCCCCAATGACTAAGAAAGAGACTTAGATTCTTGTCCCAGGAGGCGGATTGGAGAGATGCCAGCCTACTGGTGACTTCTGTGCACCTCACTGGCCTCACCTGTCCAGAAGGGCGTGTGTATCCCGAACTACTGGGGTTGATCTCCCAACATGGACCGTCCTACTTTGGGGAGCTCCAAGTTCAGGCACTCAACAGGGGTTGGGAAAGTAGAGGCTCCAAGATTTCCAAATGGGAGGTGATTCAGGGCTGCCTTGAGTAAGAAACTGTTCTCAAGTTTGTTTTGAAGCTAGTTTTCATAGAAAGATCTAAGTGGACTCTCTTCACCTAGATTTATATAGTTACTTTAAAAATCAATGAAAGCAGCAAACTTGTGTCGGAAGATTTTTTTTTTTTTAACAGTTTTTGCAGTTGAGAAAATCCGCAATTGTCCCTATCGAGGGCAATAGTTTTATTTTGTTCTCTTCTGGGCTGCTTTGGTGAGTGGAGACTACTAGTGGCCGTTGTGGCGGTGGGAGCTGACCGACTCCCACTCGGGGGCTGGCCACTGCCGCAAGAGCCTCCGGCGGATCGGAAGCTGGACTTGGCCGCGCGGAGCCAGGCGCGGAGGCTTCCTTCCCTCGGGCACCGCAGCGGTCACTCGACCCCTGACGCGCATGCGCAGACCCCAGCGGCGTCCTCCCCGGCTCCTTCCCTCCCTCATCCGGGTCCTGGGCGAGCGGGCGCCGTGCGCGTGTCTCGCGGCCGAGCTGCTAATAAAGTTGCACTGAGGGAAAGCGCAGCGACGGCGCCGGGGGAGTGCGTCCAGCCGGCGGGTGAGTGAGTGTGGGGCCCAGGGCGGGCGAGCGGGCGAGCCGGGCCGGGGGCTGCAGCTTCTTCCGCGACGCAGCTCGCCCTCAGGCCCGAGTGGCTGGACTCCGGCCGAGGTGGGGGCGCTGGGCCGCGGGCGGAACGGAAACCGCCCGGGCCTGCGGGGCGGGAGAGGTAGGCCGACTCCCGGCCTGCAGAGGTTCGGGCGGCCGGGGATGGGGCGGCCCGTCCCGCTGCGGAGGCCGTGCAGTGGCCGGGGGCGTCCCGTGGCTGGCCTTGTTCCTGCGCCGCCGTAGCCGCCCGGACTGTGGAGGGAGGCGCTCGGGACACCCTCGAGGCGGAGGAGGAGCGGCGGGGGGGGCGGGGGGGGGAATCCCGGCGCTGCTTGTGTCCAGAGGAGCGGTTTGTTCTACCTCATCTAAGCACCACCCTCAGTCACACCCCTGGTAGGATCGCCGTGCTCGGTCGAGCCGTCCGGTCTGCTTGCTACACTGCAAAGCTGTCCAATGGCTTGATGAATCCGTGCCGCCGTCGCTTTGTGTTTCAAAGATAAGGATCCACGCTTATCGGTGGGAATTACACTCTGGGCACTTGTGACCTGCTACTGCACTCAGCTGGTAGTGAGACCTGGTTTCTGCCCGTTGCCGTGCCAGTTTTCACCATTGCAAAAAGATTCCTTCCCCTTCGTGTTAACTTCTGCATTGCTGCAAGGAGAACGCCAAGCCGTGCCTGTTTGCACATTCAGCCTCTGCCCGGTCTTTCACTTTAATATCAGTACTCAAATTCATATTCCGGGCTCTCCTCCTCCCCCGCCCGTTTTCCTCTCTTCCCCTTTCAGCTGCTGTTATTACGTGGAGTTTGGAGCCTAAGCTTTGAAAACTCCCATGTGGCGCCTGTCTTAAGTCGGAGCATGCTCAGTAGCCAAAACAGATTTTGGTTGCAAAAAAGAACTGGGGCGAGGATAGTCCGGGTATTTGGACGTTTGCCCGATTCCTAACAAAATGTTCCAATTCTGGTTTTGATGGCATTGGAGAATGGAGCTGTAGGCCAGCCTGGAGGTGAGGAATGCCTGAACACCCTGGGCCAGATCGCTATCTTGATTGCAGAGACATTGTTTCCTGACCAGCTGGAGGTCTAGAGTTGTTGGGGTGGTGGGGGGGGGGGGGCGGGGAGGGGGGA